GAACACTTTTGCTTCTCTGTTAAAATACATAACGGGGATAGACGAGTGGATAAATTTAAAGTTGTATGCTGACATTGTTCCACAGAGATCGGGCAGGCAACACATCTAACATTTTCTACTGCTGGAGATATTGTCACTGCAACCAGATCTATGCACTCTTCAGAAAATGTGGATAGGTAATCTATCCTAACTAGTTGCAGTATTTCATTTTTTATTTTAAAAAAATTTGTTTTTCTTAATAAAGAGTGCAATTTATTTAAAATATCACCCAAATGTGTCACTTTTATTTATTTTATGCAAGAATTTTATTGTGTATTGGCAGCTTTTTAAAATAAAGATTATGTAAGTTCTTATTGTTTTGTACCGAACCGAATGAACCGAACCGAACTCTCCAAGACACTGTACCGAACCGAATATGATTTTAGCGTACCGTTACACCCCTAATATATATATTTACACTATATGTGTAACGGTACGCTAAAATCGTATTGGGTTCGGTACAGTGTGTTGGAGAGCTCGGTTCGGTTCATTCGGTTCGGTACAAAACAATAAGAACTTACATAATCTTTATTTTGAAAAGCTGCCAATACACAATAGAATTCTTGCATAAAATAAATAAAAGTGACACATTTGGGTGATATTTTAAATAAATTGCACTCTTTATAAAGAAATACACATTTTTTAAATAAAACATTAAATACTGTAACTAGTTAGGACCTGGAAACTTTTAACACTAGCAACAGCTTCAGCTTGTAGATCAACAAAACTAACTATTCAAGTTTTAAGTTTTAGCTAAAAAGATTAACCTATCCACATTTTCTGAAGCGAGCACAGATCTGGTTGCAGTGACAATATCTCCAGCAGTAGAAAATGTTGATGTTTTGCCTGCCACATACCCGATCTCCGTGGAACAATGTCGGCATACAACTTTAAATTTATCCACTCGTCTATCCCCGCTATGTATTTTAACAGAGAAGCCAAAGTGTTCCCAAACAGGAGACCGTAGTGAGGTGGGAGGGTCTTCAAGCTCTGGCTTCTCTTTCGCTGTTGCCATTTCTCACCCGTGCAGCTCTACTGTGCGTCACTCAATAGCGTCCGTGCGAAAACTCGCCTAGAAACAATGTTCCGCTGCGCTTAATATCGCGCTAATAATAAATTTATATTATTTAATTAAAAAAGTATACCGAAATGGTACGCAAGTGTACCGAACCGAACAGGCTGCACCGAAACGGTTCAATACATCCCCGTGAACCGTTACACCCCTACTAACCATGGATGTGAGTTATCAGTGATTCATAACTTTATGTAGACCAAGGCTCAACAGTTGCATCATCTTCTCTCCAGGATGTCAGACGCCAATCTTTATTGTGTTTGGTCTGACGTCTTAAATATGGACTCTACTTGTTTTAAGGAACCTTAGGCGAATACGGAAGTACCAGAGAGGTCAAGAAATGCAGATGAGGGAGCCCAAAGAGGCAGCTAAGAAATCCTCGGAAGGTGGTGAAGACTCCAAGGTGGAGTGCATGTTTAAGCTCAACTCTTACAAAATGGTGTACGTCTTTAAGTCAGAAGATTACATGTACCGGCGCTCCGCACAGCTGAGAGCTCATCAGGTAAAGGTCCCACTTATGTCACCTCTCCAGTTGAACATACAGATGTTTAACTGGTTTGTGTTTCATTATATTCTCCAGTCCCATCAGCGAGTCAGCACCCGCCTGCATCAGCGCTTCCAAACGTGGCTGGACGGCTGGCGTAAAGAACATGTGACCAGTGACATGGCAACCAGCACTTCTAAGTGGCTGATGGGAGAAGGTCAGGACGGGCTGCTGCCCTGCAGAACCGTCTGTGAGCCCAAGATCCTCCACTTCCAGAACATCAACAGATATAAAGTCACATACAGCACTGCGTCGTAAAGCTCCGCGTTTCCACGGAATTCTTCCGTTTCATGTTGTTTTAATGACTGAAGTAGCACTGAAATTAAAACCAGACCGCCGTTGAGTTGATTGCGGACTTTTATTTTTTATTTGGAACTTTTAACATTTTTAGATCGGACACTTTTGTTTTTTTGTTCGCCTTGGACTTTGTACCCAGTTGTTTAGTGTCTTTCAATCATGAGGGCAACAAACCCAGTCAAACGTAGTGGACTCTTCCTTCCATTCTCGAGATGATTAGAACCACTTTGGTCTGTTTGAAGGCTTTTTGTGAAACGATGGTTTACAGGTCAAGCCCATGTCCGCTGTATAGTTTTTTTATTATTATTATTATTATTATTCGTCATCTCCTCAAGAGAAATAGTCGTTTATTAGCAATATATATTTTTTGTGATTCATTTAAACACTTCAAAACACAGGAGGAAATCGTTTTTTTTAAAAGAACTCTATGGTTTAAGGCTACGCAGCTAAACCAGGTCTGAGAACGATGATGATGATGATGTGAATTTCTCTCGTGTGTTGTTCCCATAAACATGAAATGTAATTATGGTCTATTTTCAGAGGTTAATTACAGCACCGTTGATGAAGGTATTACTGTTTATTAATAGACGTCTAATTTACCAGCCACAACGTGTCAGTCAGGAACGCCAGAAAGTACAGTCACAAAAAGCTCTTGTAATGTACATATAATGTGTGTTTGTATATAGATATATAAATATCTGCCAGACTGTTTATATCGAGACACCCTTCGCTGTTACGTAGTTCAGCTATTAGGCTTCTCTCAGCATACCGAAGGAGGTGGATGCTGAAGAAAAACACTTTCGGACTATTCTTACCAAAGGGAGAACTTCTATCAAAAGTGTACTGTCTGGTCGCTCTGTCTCTTCTCTTCACGTGCTCAGGGAAATGTTCCTTTCGACAGCTTGTTGTGCAGGACCATTTCTCTGGGACTATATATTTGGCCCTTCTCTGAAGTTGTATTCCAATTTTGTGATATCACTGCCTGTGTTCTGAGTAGAACTTAGAGATGATACCGTTTGGTCCCATTTCACCCTCTTGTAACAAGAAGCCTGGAGATGTAACCAGGGGCACATTTGTAATGTGCTTTCAAGCCTTGGTTTATGCTGACGAATATGTGAAACATATTTAAAGAAGGCTATGATGGCATGTTTCTATGTTCTCATGTACAGCCCTTTTATATTATTCATTATTGTTTTAAAGATTGAAATAAAACAATTGTAGTAGATTACACTGTTGTCTGCAAACCTTTGGTGCTGTTAACACACTTTTGCATTTTGGCAGCAGAGGGAGTGCTTGCCTCTTCTCTTGGGGGAAGACTAGAGAATTCACCTCTTTAGATCATATCTGATAGATTTAATGAGTAGCTCAATGAACAATAGAACGATTTCCAAACTTTTCTCAAGGCTGAACACTTATTTGACTCAGTAACATGAAATAAGGTTAATAATCAAACTTCGATGACAAAATCTTCAGTTTTACTCAAATTGGTTGAAGCACAAATGAATACACCTCGCAACAAAGACTACCACATCAAGTATTTGCATAAGCACCATGTTTTTTTTAGGACAGCACTAAGTCTTCTAAGCATGGAATGAACAAGTTGGCGACATATTGCAGCATCTATCGTTATCCTTTCTTCAAAAATAACCTCTTTCAGAGTCTGGAGTGAGGCTAAACTTGTCGTTTCAGAATTCCCAACAGTGTTCCATTGAGTTCAGATCAGAAAACCATTCAATAACCTTCACCCTGTTCTTCTTCAGAAGTGCAGCAGTAGCTTTTGGATCATTGTCACTTCCATCCTTCTTAAAATTTTGAATAATTTTTGCTGTAGTATTTTGACTGATCAGTAAAGCTTTGCTGATCTTGTTTTAGCCCTGATGTTTTGTGTAAAGAAATTTCCTTTTTCAGATTTTGTGACATTTTTCTTCCATGGGGATCAATTGCTATCAGCATGAAATGGGAGGGTTTTTTCAAGTAAAGCCTTTTTAATGTCACCTGTCTGCTGGACACCTCTTAAATGAAACATTAGACTCACCTTTGGTTGATGCCTGTTACTTAGAATTTTGTAGTCTTAACTGTGGCTTTTCTCCTAAGACTTTAATTGGAGTGCACTCAATTTTGCAACATGGGATTTGATGAATTTGTTAGTGTCTTGTAGAAAATGTTGATTCTGAAAGGAAACTAAAGGTTTTCTGATGAATGTAGTGGGGTGTTCTCATTTTGCTAAGCACTGTATGTATTTAAGTTTAGGGGTCTTTTGGCTTTTTTGTTATATAGGATAGTAAGGAGTGAATGGAAAGACAATGGTCTCAAACCCCATGATGCAAAGCTGGTAATCCCTTCAAGTAAGATGGCTTACTTGAAGTGAGTTTAAATAGAAATTGAAATCACTCCTATACTGGTGACGCCATCATGTGTCTTTTGTGTGATATAAAAGCAGCTCTGTCTCTTGGACCGGGCGTGTTGCGTTCTGAGATCACAGTATTTACATTGACCTTTTTATTGAGCACATAATGTAGTGTCGGTGATGCCTGTACGTTTAAAATAAGTGCTTGGAGGCTCAAATTAAGCACAGCCAGCATCTCTACTGGAGCACCATAATTGGTAAAGTGCACAGATAAATGATAAATGTAATTCAACTATTAATAACTATTAAAATGGATAATTCCTTTACAGTTGTTAACAGTAAAAAAAGGCTTTAAACGTTGTTTTTTTTTTTGTTTTGTTTGTTAAACTTTCACATGGAAATTTGCTTCCTTCAGATACCCACCTCAAAAGGCATGGCTACATTTGTATTTAAGTATTTAATTTTATACAAATTCTCTGGGCTTTGAACCCACAACCTTTGCAATCCTAGTGCAATGCTCTACTGCCTGAGCCACAGAACAGCCTAAAAATCATGCTTAAAACAAACTGGTTTATTGTTTTTAATTGACTCAAAAAATAAATGAACTTCATACACAAGGCCTGCACTACTAGTCAAACATTTGTGCACCCCTTGATTAATAATCGCATACCTTAATTAACAAATGGAATTACATAGTAAACAAGAAAAGTTAATGAACTCCAAATAGGTTTCATATTTTAGATTCTTTCACACTTTTCTGATATGAACTGGTCTGTAATGGCACATCAGGTCATCTGACGCAGCACTCAACTGTCATTGGTCTCGGTCAAACACATGGGATGGTACGTCACTGCTGATGCTAGAAGCTGTGGTAGCCTCACAAGTTTAGTGCGTCTTCAACACAAAGAAACATTACTACCAAAGGACCTCTGCAAGTTCTCAACCCCTCCACCATGCTTAACTTCTTTATGATCTATTTCTTTACGTTGGAGAATTAAGTTGACACTTGTTTAGTATGCAATTCTATGTGATGTCTTCAAAGACTAAATCTACAAAGAAGAAAATTAAGTGGCTTCAGAAGGTGTGTCCAAAGTTTTAACTTGTAGTGTAGTCTAGTCTACAAATAATCTACTTGTCAGATGCAACTATGAGAACACAGTTCCAAGACCTGCCCAATTATCCATCTTGCCACCCCCTAAAAAATTATTTTCAAAAATGTTAAAAAATAATGTGTTTTTTTATATTTAAGAAATAGTACTACAGTCATAAAAGAACATTTTAAGAATAATTAAACAAGGTGCAGGTTAATCTTGAGGAAAATATGAATCATCCACCGCTGCTCAGTGTTCACTCCCGGAAATAGATCCGTGTGCAGACCACATCATCGGCCCCAAAGGTCTGGGCAAAGAAAACACACACAGAGAGAAAACCATTAACCTAATCATTCCTTTGTTTAATGTTGACATTTCATGTGAATGTAAGCAGGCATAATAACCTTTCATAAATAATAATACTACATACTATAGCATTGCAATAGTGAAAAAAGTGAACGCTTCCATGAAAATATAAAGAATTTGTTCATTCATTCATTTTCCGATCCGCTTATTCTCTTTCGGGGTCTGCTGGTGGCTGGACAGGTCGCCAATCCATCGCTGGGCAGTTAATTTGTTTTAATTTATTTTTCTTGTTCAATTTAATTTCTTTAAGCATTGTGTGATATTTTTCAAGATTTTCCATGTACAGTGGTCATATTTATAAAATGGTGATCTACATACAATAACGTTAAAAGAGTAAAAGTAATCACCGTTCTTTCCCTTTTCAAACACTAGGGCGTAGAGAGTCACGTGACCCTGCTCCATTCTGTTATCACGCAGAGCATGGAGAGCTTTAGCATTTTAATTTCAGTTGTTTATCTAAAATCTCTCACTTGTTATGTGAGCAATTTTTGTTCTGTACAAAATTTCTTAACAAGAAACTGCATCAAAATGAATGAGAAGATGAATACAGCATGTTATCAATAGATACTGGGGGAAAAATTGCTGCGCATGAGATGATACTGGACATTCTAACACGGCAACGATCCAATGAGTCAAGTCATCTTGTCACTGGTTATACAGGAACGAAATGAAGGTTCTGGAGTGACCAGCTCAGTCTCCTGACCTAAATATCATTGAACCACTCTGTTTGTTTATGCAAGAAAGCGCAAGAATTTACAAGAGGTTGAGGTTTTTTGCAAGAAAGAGCTCTTTATCAACAGAGAAGATAAAGAACCTCATTGACAACTACCTCAAGAGACTTCAGGCTATTATTGATGTTAAAGCAGGGAAGACAAAGCTATTAAGAGCTCGGGTGTATAAACTTTTAAACAGGGTCATTTGGAACATTTCTATAGTCATTGTGATTTAAAAAGAGAAACAGAGTTGTTTGATAATAAAGGGCTGTTGAAATACAAATATACAAGCTACAATTCTATTTTTGTCAAAATGTCTTTCTCCACCTTCGCCAAAATACATATGCACATACAATACATTTGATGTGTAGGCACATCAAACTCTAGATAGGATAGCTTAGGGACCGTCTGCAAAGTTCCAATCCCAAAATATGTTTTGTTCAGAACATTTTTAATAACTTTACTCTTAATAAATGCTCTATTCTGAACAAAATCAAGCCAATTCTGGATGGATTTTAATTATTTAGAGGTGCATTAAAGCCCAACTCCTGTCCAAAAACCTAAAAAAGTTGCACTGTTCTTAAAAAAAAAAAAGTCACTTTTTGTTTTATATTATGAATTTTAAACAGAAAATCGTTGAAAATTTTTTTCACAAGGCATTGAAAAGAGCAATAGTTAATATTTTTAGACATAAATTCCATATTTGTTCGAATAATGGTTAATTTGCTGGAATGAAACAGGTGCTTTGATCGTTCTACGTTGCTTGAGTGAGAGGAGCAAAGTAATTTATCAGCGCTTTGTTCAGTGATCGAGAAGCTGTCCATGTAGCATCTCTCATAATTTTAAGAATGTGGGAGGAACAGAACTGAAGCAGCCGAAAACACTATGGACACCATCTGGAGCTCAGAGAAGGTCCACCTCTCACAATGTTAAAGGGTGTTCGGTCTGGCCATCTGCTGTTGCCCGGCTTGGGGAGACATTATAGAGAACAGTGCCAGGCATGTACCCTCAGTCTCTGCTAGTTTCTAGCATGATCAATGACAGCTATTTGCTTAATATTTTCTGGGTCACCGCCAGTACCTTTGCTTCCCAGTTCCATTCTTTTTGTGGTAATGCAACCATTTTAAATAAAGTTAACCATTAATCATTTGGTTTAGAAAAAGGCTAAAGTTTGTGTAAACTATTCATTATGATTAGGTGTGCTGTCAATAAGACAAAATGCTTGAAATAAACCCTGAACAGATGCTGCTGTGGCCTGAACAACAAAGTGAGCTGCGGTTGGTCTAGAACTGGGAGGTGATTATTGAGCTTGAGACCAAACAGCTGGTGCAGAGTGAACAGAAAGGCATCAGAGGTTTTGATGTGAGACAGCTGCATTACCACAATTAGGTTGACGCGTCAAAGTTTATGTTGTTCTGACTTGATAAGAGAGAGACTGAGAGATGAGTGATAAAGATGTGGCGAGAACTGTGAGCCTATTCATTATGGGGCTAGTTTTGTGGCAGTATTATCAGTGTACTTTACATTTGAGGTCAAAACTGGTAGGATTATGACACTCATGCATAAGTGATCACGGGAAGAGCCTTAATGTCAAGCTTATATTATATGAGTCTGTTTCGTCCACTCAGTAGTTTAGCTTTTTTAGAATAATAGCCCCATTTTGTCAGCTCAGTTGCTCCATTAATAACAGTTTCCATGCCATTTATGCCATTTTTAACCTGATATCCATCAAGGAAAGGAGTTCTTAAAGTTTGATTGGGACCTGTTTAATTGACCCCGGGACCTTACTTGTCAGTCAAAATCTGTAAAGCTGTAATATCTCATGTTATTAGTGTTTTGTAATTGTTATATTTCTATTAGAAGTGAGGCTTTAATCAGAAAAAAGGAAACAAAAGAGAGGGAAAGTGATTAACAGCAGTCACGCGATGACGCAACACAGCTGCAGCGCAAGCGGGAATGAATTGGGCATTCACAAGTATACACAAATAACAAGCTAGTTAATGATAGCATTTTGGTAAAACATCAGAGAGATCATTAAAAGTCTGTTTTATTTCAACCAGTGGGTTAGCAGGATTCCAAACAGGCAAAAGTTGTAGACTACAGCACATCAGAGATCAGTAAAGCTGCTGCAGATTCACAGATTCGGTTTTCTCTGCTTGATTGCACACAACCCAAACGTTCTTAATAGACAAATGACACATCTGTTTAATCGGTGTTATCTAGCGGCCAAGCTACAACTGTATTTTTTTCGAAATAGGTCTTCCTCCACATTCGCCGAAATACATAGACAAGTGTATGTTCATCAAAATGTAGACGGGATTGCTTAGGGACCATCTGCAAAGTGCTAAAATATATATATATATTTTTTTTTTCAGAAAATGGTTAATAACTTCACTCTTAAATGTTCTATCATGAACAAAATCAAGAAAAATCCAGAATTTGTTGCGTTCAGTATTTTTAACATGAGATTTGTGATTATTAAAAAATCCTGGATGGATTTTGACAATTTCTGAGGCATTAAAGCCCAAATTCTGTTCAAAAACCTAAAAAGGTTGTTCTGTTCTTAAAACGTGCACAATTTTCTCCAGGCTCAACTAAAAAAAAAAAAAAAAAAAAAAAAAAAAATATATATATATATATATATATATTATGGCAGAAGAGTATATATATATATATAAGCTCCAGGACCCTTTTTCATCCTTAAAATAAGCCAAAATTAGTACTTTAACCAGAAAACTGACCAAAAACAAATCTCGAAGACTGATTTGTTTTTTAACCCTTAAAAATTCACTAAATTAAAGCCTTAATAAAAATAAAGCCTAAATAATCAGAAGAGGAACTATTGTATAAACCAGGAGCTATTACTTATAGATATGCTAGTAATGATTTATTTTGGAGTTATTATTTTGGCGACAGGTATATAATTGTGTGGAGATTTGTGAACCTTTTACTCAATATGCAAATCTGGATCTGGATCTTGGCCTAAACTTTTGGGAGGCGATTTGAAAATGTGTTTTGATTTTTCTTTTTTTTTTTTTTTTTTAACCTTGTCCTGTCCTGCTCAAAAGCCATCACATGGGATAGTACATGCCTTGCTGAGTTGGACAGTTTTGCTTTCTCCAGGGGAGTAAAACGCCTGGTGTGGTGTTTTCTCCTCTGGATTTGAAAATTGAGTGTATTTATTAAATATTTATTAGTTGTGGTTCCCGCGAGTCAGTTTATAATAGTTGTGTCAGGACAAGAAAGTGCCGAACTGAAAGGGGGAGTGGATTGGGGAAGGGTGAATGTACACGAGTGAAAATGAAAGAAAGGAAGAGGAAAAGAAGAAGAGAGGAGAAAAAAATAGCAAATGAATAAAATAAAATAAATA